AGTAATAATATGGATAACCATGGAATATAACCCAGTAAAAGCAATTGTTGAACCATATGGACGTTTTGTGTCGTTCTTTCGTGAAGGAAATGTCATAACAATTTATGATTGTTGTAGCAAAACATACTAAAATTAATTTTTCACTTTAATGTTGTCATAAATTTTTTTTATTTTTTTTTTTTTGGTATTTTTTTTTTTGTTTTTTGGATTTTAATAAATATCACATAATTGCAGCCTAAATGCATAAACATTTCGATTTGAGAGCTTAAAAAAAGGAACATTTGCATAAATAATTTGATTGCATTTCGTGTTTTGTTTGTTTATTTGGAAGCGCAGTCCGCAAAAAACGATTTTATTGTAAAAAGTAACAATTTCCAGCAGAGAACAAAAACCAAACGCAACAGTCGAAAAAAAAAAAAACAAAAAAGACAGCAACAAAGCATTTGCGTTTTATGTTAATGAGAATGTGTCTGACTTTCTGGTATTTGACCATTGGCAGCACTGTTTGCAGAGGAATGATAAATGATTCCCAGTATTCATGCAGTGGCAGTTGTTAAAGTTGAGGTTGCGGTAATATTGGCAGCTCCTGCAATGCATTTTGGCCGTGTTTGTGTGCACTCGCAAAAATGTAATATTTTTCATTCGTATTATTTATATCTTTTTAGCTTTTATTATTCTTTTTTTTTTATTTTTTTTTATATTTTTTTTTTTTTTTTCATTGCCTTTGTTACTTTTGTCCCGTGCACAATAGTGTGTCCAGGACACTAGTGTGTACGCGTATGCCGGGCATTATTCACACGATACTGTTGCCAACGCTTCAAACTGTGCAAACGGACGGCAACACTGTTGACTTTGACGTTTGCATTGGCTTCAAACCCCTTTTCACTGTTTACTTGCGGTCGTTTGTGCTAATAATTGAAAATTTAATTTATTTTAGTGGAAAAAACCGCTTCAAAAATGAACACAAAAAACAAAAAAAACAAACGCTTTTCGCATATGTAATTAGTTCAATTTATCCTGACAGCAGGATACTAATTATTTAATGAGACATATGCAAGTTATTAAAAAATCATGTAATTATTTGTCACATTATAATTATTGTTTGTATAAAAGTCATCACAGAAAGGGAAAACGTACAAAACATTTCTATATTTTATTCTGCAATAGCAGCTCAAAATCCTTAACAGATATCTTCAAGATCCAAGTTAATTTTACTTATACATATATACGAGTATAAATATTTACAAACTAAAGCCATCGCAGACGAGGTAAAATGAAAGATACTCTTACATTCCCTATTCCCTATTAGAAAAGTTGCATTAGTTTAAGCTAGTCAGTAAAAACTTCCTTCCATTTAATTTCCTTATACATATATTTAAATTTTTAGAAACATAAGCCTGTCTTAATTTCAAGTCATTGCAGACAGGACTCACTTACTTACTTACTTATTTGACCATAACAACCCCTTACCGAGTTTTGGCCTGACCCAGCCCGTCTCCCCAAGCGACTCTGCTTTGTGCGCGTCTTTTCTAGTCTCGTACAACAAGTTCAGTTATTGCTCCCACAACTTGATCACTCCACCGGAGACATCTGTCTCTATGTTTTCTTCCGCCAACTACTGCTTCAAACACTTTTTTCGCTGGAGCATCTCCATCCATTCTCACGACATGACCAAGCCAGCCAAGCAGCTGGATGTTAATTCCCTAAATTATTTCAGTGGCGTGATTGCAGACAGGAGAAAAGAAAATGTACGCATATATTCTCTTCTACTTTTATACCAGAGTACGAGAAGTAGAATTAGCTCTAGCTTGCCAGCAGAACCTTTCAACATTCAAAATAATTGATGTTTAGTGTGTTTTAAAACTTCATGAGAACTTAAAATCATAATACAAATCAGAAATATTGCTAAAATGAAATTTTTTTTTTATTATTATCTGGTAGATAATACTCCCCGGCTACGAGTTACATGTTCCGTATGATCAATCCAAGATTCTACATGTGTCCCTATGACAAAAATATTGGTATAAACATTGGATTCAAATGCTTCAAGAATTGCTGGTTTGTTAACACTGGCCAGACCACTTCTGAAAATAAAGGTATTGATTTCGCAATAAATTGATTGTTAAGCCCGCTGTATGGCAAGTTGCTCTATCTTCTTGGAACCAAATGTAGTCGGTGTTCAACTGATTAATTTTGTTAAACAAGAATTTAATCAGCATAGTTCAGTAAGGATAGCGCTAGCCATTCATCGTAACATCATAGCTGCTTCCTCATTTCGAAAGAAATAGGAACAAATAGTTGCAAGATACTGTAAGATTCACGTGGGTATCTAACAATTCTTCAAATGAAATAAAGTATAGGAAAACGTAAGGATAGTGAACTCAATGTTCAAAGTTTAATGGCATATAGCTTACTGGAAAATTGTACTCGAAATAGCTGACTTTATTAGAATCTATTGAAATGTGAATGCAAGTCCTCGGGAAAAAGAAATATATATTTTTTGTTTATATTTTGATAATATCATGTTGGTAAGAAATATATTTTTTGGTGTGCTGGACAAGTCACTGTACCTAAGTAATTAATAGTAATGTTACCTTAATATAATATTATAATAAACTTTCTGACTATAAAATCATAATTAAAAAAATTCTTAAGATTATCATAAATGACATATATGGTATGTATGTACAAAGTCAACAAAGTAAGTATACCTTCTTCCTGATCAATCATTTTTATATAGGTATGTACTCGTATACGAGGCACATATGTGCTTTATTTTCTCGTCGTTAATATTAGACAAATAAAACCATTAGTAAACATACCACGTCGGGCGCGTTTCAAGTTAGAACTTCTGAACTGATTGTATTAAGACGAATTACAAAGACATTAACAATAATATCCTTTCGCTTTATTTTCACCATTTTTCACAGAGTTTGCATAATCCTTTGTAAATTATGGCACTTCAAATGATGACAGCACACGCCACAGCCGACGCCTCTCTCATTGTCATTGCCAATGTCACCAACCACCATACACATATCGAATTCAAGATGCTTTAAACCACAAACTTAACTCTCCGCTAAGAAAGTTACCATGTCTTCCACTGTTCTCCTGCTACGTGTAAATATTTTTGTTTCGAAGTTGTCTGCTCAAAACATTAATCATATTAAAGGCTTCACTGCTCAACACAAAACAAAAAAAAAAAAGAAAAACAAGGACCAATGTTAATAGGAAGGAATAAAAACCTCTACAAGTACTTGTACATTAATACGTGACACGGCAGGACACAGCAAAAACAAGCATAGAAACGAAACTCGCAGTCCCTGACAAGTGGAAAATTATGACAGGTACATGGCGCTTATTAGTTCAGTGTTGCCAACAATAAAACTTGCATATATCTATGTTTGTCAAAAAAAAGAAAAATAAAGTAGTCTAAAAATGACAAGACAATCGCTGTGTTAAAATAATTCTGAAATCGAATCACGTAGAGTTTTTGTATGATATTTCCACTGCTACATACTTTTTGCAATTACTCTAATATGTATAATCCACCGAAAATTTAAGAGCACATAATGAGTCAGTGCAGTGCTGCATATTCCTCAGCATTGTCTACGGATGATATTTGTTGAAAATTATGGAGCTTGAAATATCCAGCATATTTATAATCATATATTTTCCATACTGATATTTTTTATAAGATCAACTAAAACTTCGTCAGGTATTATACAGTGAATCGATCATTTTAAGTAAAGAAGACAGCTTTTAGACAACCTAAGTCACTTAACTTGTATTTAATTTACAAAGTAACTAGAAATTAGAAAGCTCAAAAGAAATACAGCTGGCGAAAAAAGTACTTGTAAACAGCTGTCCATTGCATGGTGCTAATGTGACAGCACTATTTTAGTAACATACATATAATATGTTATGCAAAACTATCATCCAAGCTATCACATATTTGGCATAAGATTTAATTTTTTACAAATGGATGGGTTAAATGTCACTGAACGTATTAGAATTGAGAAAACGGACTGGATAAATATTGATTATATAGCATTACTAAGAGATTATGGTCGGCATAATCGTATACGTACGATTTTATCTAAATTTAGGTAAAATTTGAAAAACTTGATCTATAAGTTTATGAATCAACTCGTATCGTAGAAAGAGCTCATCAATCCAAAAGATATACATTTGTTTATCTTCAAAAAAATAAGTATGTATTTGACACACCTCCAGTAGAATTATATTCTACTCGAAATGGTTTTCTTTTCTTATATGCTTCAGAACACAAAATACTAAAAATGATAGTATTCTTAATCATGTATTTTATATAAACATTTCAACTTCATTAATAATAGGTTAGGTTAGGTCACACCGGCGATCTCAAGGGATCCACATGGACCTGTAGGCCTATTGTGCTATCGTATTAATAAAAAGAAAACCCCAGGGTTAAAACCATTTAGAACCTTTGCCAAAGCCTATGAGGGAGGTACTGAAACTCGCCAAGATCACCAAAAAGAAAGTTCCTGCAGTATTAAGGCGGAGCCTGGCCTTATCAATAATAAGTCAAAGAAAAAAAAAATTGCCTTGACAAAACGCCGAACTAAGTTTTTGCAGCGCGTGTTTCTGTTAGGTATAGAATGAATATTGTTCCAACATTGATAGTAGTCTGTGGTTTATGGTTATAGTCTATAGTTTACGAAATAATGCTGTTAGTTTGAGTGCAAAAGATGTGTTGAAACAATATATTTCTTTGTTTTTGTCACTCAAGTTTTTGAAACAAACTGATATAGATAATGACAACAGAAAGGCATTAACGTATGCAAGAGAGCGTTGCCAATATTAAACATCATAACGTTATATAAATGGCATTGTTATTGTAACGCTATGTATTGTCGCAATCCATACAACAACAAAAACTTTTGACACATAAAAAAAATTGATGCAGTTAGCTATGGATTTACAAAAAAATTAAAAACTATCAAGTTTAAATAAAATCAGTTTCATATATATATGTATATACACAGGTGTCTGTAACAAGTCTTCAGAGTTCAATTCAAACGTCTTTCGTGCAAGTTAGAATTTGCATTTAATCGCAAAATGGCTGTAGGAGGAAGACATCACACAAACAATGATTTACAGTTGTTGCCGGACCGCTTTAATATACCGCTATTCCTTTTGTCAAGTAATTATAGTCATCTAAATATCGTATTATTTTTAGTTATTATTTTTTCATAAATATTCCATTTTTACAAGGACACCCCTTAAAGTCTGATCGCCCAGAAGTTCTCAAAAATTACTTGCAAAAACACTGTCCATTGTATCCGACGTCCTGTCACTTAGGTAATATTTTTTGTCATAATAAAAAAATAATATCTGAAAATTGCATTTGTTCTTATCGCAGATGAAGATCCTAGAACAGCAGCAAAAACGTACGTAAAACACGTTGTCGGCTTGGAGAAATCCAGATTTGATGAAAAGTGCAAAGGACAGCGTTTTGCAACTACACCGAGAAAACAAACTAGTAAAGATACATGGCATTTACCACCAAATTGTTACCAATCAGAGAAAAAAAAAGACAAGCCAGGCCTTGGTGCGTTTTGGAAAAAGCTGCCAAAAAACATTGGCCTACCGTCATATAAGCCTCCACTTCCTAAATTTTATGACTTACCTAGCTTTACCGATACATTGCAAAACAAATCCAATCAGCAAAAGGGGGTTTTTCTATCCAGTAAGTAAAATTGTTATTTTTTTTTCTTCATTGGTATTTAAATTAATTATATTTTAAGATGCACGGAATCATAGACCAACCGCCCGCTCAATGGTTATGAATCCTCTCACATGTTATCGGAATCCAAAGGATCCAGGTCCAGCTAACTACACTCCTTACAAGGAAACATATAAATGGTACGTATGCGTCTACAAAACCGCCCTATTTTTATTAAAACAAGTTTTCATCTAAACTAATTGTTTTTTTAGTGCTCCAACCCATAAAACTAAGGAGTCAAATCAATTTTACTCCTCCACAACTGTTCCAATAAAAGATATGTCAACACACTTAAAAAACGGTAGCTTCACACCTGCTCCAGGTCGTTATGATAATCGTTTCAGAGATATTTGTGGATGCTCACCAAAACTCACCTATTGGCCTGACATGCAGACTGAAATTGACAAGCAAAAACGCAAGAAATTTCGATTGCAACCATTCACGAAAATCAAAGTAAAAAATTTCTATACTCCAGAATGGCGGCACGTTAAAGGTAATGGCTTCCAGCATCTGTTCAAAACTGCTGGAAAGAAAACATCTCCAAAAAATCTTGCAAAAGCTCTCAAGCAAAAAAAAGGCTATAAGCGTGTTCAAATGCATCCTGATGCCAGATATTTTAAGATGATAAACACTCCACATAGATATATGGACTCCACATTTCGTACAACCATACCCCACCTGCAAAGGCCAATGCAGTTCAACTGCATGGTGAAGCGTGTCATACGTAAACAGTTGCGCAATAATAAGAAAATCGCATTCGGAAGCAGCTCTGACCGCTTTAAAGATACTGAACGTACCACTCATACCATCACTCCTGCTCAATTAGAAACACTTAGAAATACATTGCCACCGGAAAGACAATTCCGTGATTATCCCGTTATGCGTGTTAATCCTGAGGAAATAGTTTCTGATTTGTTTAAGGTTCCTGCTCATTATAAGCCTGTGAGTGTCGTCAAAGAAGCTAAACGTCAATTCAAGTTTGCTAACTTGCCGGAACCAAAAATATTAGTAACCGAAAAGGATACTCACGTCATTTCAAGTGCCGGTGATGTAATTGAATGTAAAGGCTTGTTTACAGACAATATAGATCCTCGAAAATTTTTCAGGGATAATATAGAAGAGGAACTACTACACCAGTATGAACTCTGTGTCAAAATCTAAATTACGTAGTGAATCTCAATGTGAACTATATTTTTATGTGATTTTATAAATCATGTTATTAGCACGTAAGATAACTTAAGCGATAAGTATAGTAAATATAGTAAAAATTTAAAACTCATATTTCAATTGTAATTGTTCCTGATGAACGAGTATGTCCCTAGTAAGTATTGACCTTATGATCGTTTAGAGGCGACTGTAAGAGTGGTCCTAAGAGCATTCTTTACGCAACCGTACTCTGTTTTTCTAGTAACTTTGCGTTATCGAAAGCGGTTCAACGAAAACCAGTGTGTGATTGCAAGAATGACATATTTGTGAATAAGTCTTTTTTCCTTACATACACATGTAATTCCATATTAAAGTGTTTTTGCTTTCGAATACCTTTACTATAAGGTCTGCAATTTATTCTACTCATATGGAAAGTATCCGTCTATTTGAGCGTAGGGTCTTCAGCCATAGCACACTTATAATAGTAAGCTTGCTTTCCTTAATGATTTCTTGATTTTCTTGATGATTCCTTCATAATTTTCTTGAAGATCGGTTATAGAGAAAGCGTGATCTAGAAATCTAGTTATTACAAATTCTATGCTATGTGCTCTCCACGTCTTCGAAACTTTATCGACATAGATCAGTAATAATACTCACAACTGTCATGTTGTGTTTTACTCTATGATAATTTCGGTCATGTTCCTTTCCAAAACTTTTTATTGCTTTGCAAGTTAATAATTCAGTCCACCTATTTTTGTGATGAAGTCTAATAAGTCATTGAATTATTTAAAAAAACCTGCAGAGTTGATAATCACCAAAATACTTGCAAAAGAAAAAGTATCTCAAAAACTACATTTATAGATTTTGGAGAGATTTTAGTGCAAAAAATACCAAATTTTATTTGTTTTCATTATATTAATTCTGCCACACTATCCACCTAGTAATAGTTCAGTTTTAATCGGTGTCCTCACAAAACTTTTGTTAATTTGTGATTAACTGCTATATAAAAAGGACGTATCGGAATACTTATAAATAACATAATATATTGTTTTTAAAATCGGTTCTATTTTTTAGGATTTAACTTGTACATCAATCGTATTTTTTGTGTATTCCTATACGTATTTCCGCAAATTCGCTTTGGCTTTCTTCAGGAGAATTCCTAATATTATATATTCCTTATAAATATTATTATATTTCTAATAATAGTTTTCTTGCTATAATGTGTGATATACCATATAGCATCATTTAAGTATTAAAATGTTTATGTTGAAGCTATTTGAGGTAGTATGCTTGAACAATTTTACTCTTTCTTAACTCGAAATATTCTCAAAACCCCTCTTTACGCCTTGACTGGATTATTGTTTATCTCTTCATCAGACTAAGGAATAATTGACATCAGATCTGCATTACTCCCCGAGGAGCCTGTAACCATTCTGAGATTTGATAACGCGGTGTTGGTAAGTCTGTCAGTTTTCGCCAATAATTTCAGGGGTCTATCCTATAGAACATTTTGAAATATCATAACTTTTTGAAGTCAAGTTTATTAACTTTATGTGCATTTCCTCAGAAATAACGCTCCTTATGAGGCTCCTTGGGAGTCTCTTACTCCCAAAGATTTTTTCGCGCCTAAATTGGATTAATTTACGTTTCCAAAAACTTTTCTAGAACAATTTTAGTTAGACCAACACTCGTAATTAATTCAAGTTTTTTGTGTCTTTGTATTCACTTTTGTTTTATATTTATTTTTCATCTCATCTCATCATCATATTTTCCCGGATAGATCTAAAGACTACCCGGGCTACTTGCCAAAATTTAAAAACTTTAAAACGCATAAATAAATTTACAATTTCGAGAGTACTTTAGCATAAAGCATAAAAAAGGTTATCCAAACACAACTCATGACAAAGTATAGGGAAAAATAAAACAGAAACAGAAGCATAAACTAAGAAAAAAAAAAATACAGAAACAGAAAAAAAAACAAGAAAAAAAATATAAGAAAAAAATAAAAAATAATAATAAAACAACTCGTAAAAATGAAATTCATTGCGGAGCACTTTGCACTTTGTTGTAATCTCTGAAGCCTTTGGGGTTGTGTCAAGATTTCATTAAAATAATTTTGTTAACTTTTTCTGTCTACTTGGTCCTGTTCTGGTTGTTGTTGTTGTTGTTGTTGTTTTTGCTTCTGCTGTATTATTAAATTGTTTTTCACAATCAACCGATCAACCGTTTAAGTCTAACTGACACTAAAACATTTTTTTCTATATTTTCTGTGTTAGGACTTCAATGGTGTTCTCTTCCTTTAAATCAATAAAAAATAAAAAAATGTGTACAGAAGGACACGTACATACGCACAACAAACATGTTCCATCAGGGGATTACAATGTTAAACTGAACTGAACTCAACTCAACTCTCTGGAAATATTCAAAAGCGGTATGCTAATACTCGTGCACCCAAGAAGAAAGTAGTCGTACGCATTACCTACCTCATTAATTGGGGCCGCCGAAAATGCTGAACACCTCTTCTTCATCTGCTCAACACCTCTTCGTTCCTACGCGTAGCGGTGGTGTCTTTTTAATTTCTAGCTTGGTTTCAATGTAGGCGCGCGGCATAAACAACGATAAAACATTTCAAATAAATATAAATGATACTTCCCGCCATCTTCTGCAGAATTCGAATATCCTTTCAGGCGAACACGCGTTTCTTGCTTTGCTACATAGCTTTCGGTACTAGAAGTTTTTCCGCATTTTTTTTTCCATTTTTTTTTCTGTTTTGTTTTTTCTTGTTTTTGTTTTTGTCTTTATACTTGTTGTGCTTATTTTGCCAACTTTAGCCGTTTTATTATCGTTAGTGTAATGTTGATTTCCGGCGGAAGCGCACTCACAGTTGGGAAGCATCATTTTAGCCTGTTTGTTTGGTTGACTGGTTGCCACGTTGCGGCGGATATATTAAACTGAATTTGCATTGGAATTCGATTAAATCGTTTATGCAAACAATTCGTTTGGTTACAATTCATTCCGTACTCTTCCGCCGCCATACCTCGCCATCCCTCGCCAAGCCTCGCCATCCCGCGCCATCCCACACCAAAACCATTGCATAATGCTTGTTACATTTGTTTTTTATTATTACTTTTCCTGCATTTCATGCTTGTTTATTTTTTGCATATGAAGAAGCACAAAAACGAGTCCCATTGCTTATCCACCACCGGATTAGGGTGCAGCATTCTGATTCTGAAGACGGAAGTTCATTTCGTAGTACATTTGCATAATTTTAATTTGTTTGTTTTTTATTCAATTTTAGTTATTCCGCTGTTTATTTTCCTTCCAGACAGAGTTAACGTTCTGCTAAGCAAACTGTTTTCATTTAACGAGTTACTTATTTATGCAGGTAGCAGAGCAGATACGAGGCAGGAGCGCAAGGTGAATAAATCCCAGGCATTAAGAAAAGGTTAAAATATTGGTAATTAAAGATGAAATAAGAAGACTGTTAACTTTTTCGGCATTTTCATTTAAATCTCCGTAGACAATAACAAAGTTAAGTACTCAAAGGAACGTATTTCGTTGTTAATATTTTTTATGCAAATTTAAATCATATGCACTAAAAGAAAAAATTTCACAAAGAGCTAGAAAACCGGAACAGTTGCTATAATAAATAACCTCACCAGAAAAAAAACTCTTACAGAAAATGCAAAACATGAGTTCTAGTTCTAAGTCACATAATATACATGGCGGAAATTTTTAATGCAGTGTAATTTACTATGTGGTTGCTTTCAGAATAAAACGCTTATATCAAAATTATAAATATGAAAATATGTCATATTCTATATTATATATTAAGAATATATAATATAAATACTCAAATATATACGAATACTATTATCACAAGTGTTCATATCAAGATTAGGTCTATTTAGCCGCTGCGAAGTGGGGCAAAAAACAACAAGTCTCTTGTTAAAGTCTCTAATTTGCAAGCAAGAGAACAATACTACTATCTTGCTCTAACAGACTAATTTTAAAGTCAACAATTTATTATTTAAGAAATGGCAATGAAAAAATATTACCAAAGTGCTAATATGATCTGAAGTTTTAACGTTTATTCTAGTTATTTGTAAATAAAAATTAAAAATAAAAATTAGGAAGTTTTACAAATACGTAAATTGTAGAAGAGGAAACTTTCAAAAATATCTGAAAGTCATGAGAAAGAAATATCTTTAAAATATATAAAAACTTTCAAAAAAACATGAAGGAAGTGTGACTAAAAAGCTTATTTAATTTTTTTAATATTAATGATTTCTGCTATAGTAAATTTTGTTATAAAAAAAATTTAAAAGTTTTCTTCATCAGACCTTTTCTTTTGTAAGCATTTTACAAAAGAACAACCGCTTATTTTAAAAATAACCTACAAAGCAACATCAATGCTGGCCTTCAAAGAGTATGACCAAGTCAGTTATATTTCAGACGCTTGACTTGTTTGTTGATATCTACTTGGTTTGTTCATTTAAGTAGTTCCATATTTAAAATATGGAAAATTAAAAAATTAAAAAATTAAAAAATAAATTAATTAATTCAATTATTCTACAGCTGGTTTATGAAGTTTTACAAATACGTAAATTGTAGAAGAGGAAACTTTCAAAAATATCTGAAAGTCATGAGAAAGAAATATCTTTAAAATATATAAAAACTTTCAAAAAAACATGAAGGAAGTGTGACTAAAAAGCTTATTTAATTTTTTTAATATTAATGATTTCTGCTATAGTAAATTTTGTTATAAAAAAAATTTAAAAGTTTTCTTCATCAGACCTTTTCTTTTGTAAGCATTTTACAAAAGAACAACCGCTTATTTTAAAAATAACCTACAAAGCAACATCAATGCTGGCCTTCAAAGAGTATGACCAAGTCAGTTATATTTCAGACGCTTGACTTGTTTGTTGATATCTACTTGGTTTGTTCATTTAAATAGTTCCATATTTAAAATATGGAAAATTAAAAAATTAAAAAATTAAAAAATAAATTAATTAATTCAATTATTCTACAGCTGGTTTATGATTTCGTTCTAATATAAACACAGCATGTAAAATTGTTAATAAAAACTATCATAGTAATAGTAACAAAACTCCAGAAAAATATGCGAACAAA